CAGAGATCCAGTGAAGCAGCATGTGGCTGTGTTGTACAAACCGGCCCTGATCCCCTTGGGCTGACCCTGGCAGCCATGCTTCGTGAGCAGCCATTCTCCCTGGGCCAGATGTGTGAAAGGGCAGGCTGAGCACTGGCACCACAGTGCTGGTTTCTCTCCTGACTAGGTGGTTTTGAGGACTTCTAAGATGTTGCTGTCAGTTTGTGCCCTACAGCTGAGCCCTGATAACTGGGCTGTATGAGTCCTGCTCCATGCAAATATTTGATTTAGTGTAAATCAAATAGGAGGCAGGCATTTCCAGAGCCAGGATCCCTTCATCAAATGCTGGTGGAGGTCTGAGAGATGAGGGACTTAAAATGCTTGTGTTAATGTACAGCTCTTAACCCTTCAGGCCGTGATGGCAGACCTGGGATGGGTGATACTGGTCAACAGGCAGTCCAGACCAGGATGCAGGCTGGCAGGGCCTGCAACCAGTGCAAGACAGTGACATGCATCCTGCTGGGACCTGCTGCTGTTGCACAGGTGACATTCCCCTGGCTTCTGGTCCTTCAAATACCAGCCTTGTGTGCAGGGCTGCAAATATCGCCATTGGCAGGAGCTTAACATTGGGAAATGCAGGGCAGAACCCACTCTGGTGGGAGATTGCAGAGGCCAGGTGGAAGAAATCAAGCCATTGTGCTTCACTTCAGGGGGGAAAGCTGCCAAATAAAAGCTGGCAGCTCCATCAGCTTTGCATCTCTTCAGGATATCATTCCAGCTGGGGGAAGAGCTTGGGCTCAGATTTCATGTGTTGACCTGCCACCTCTGGCAGGCAATGGGCATTTGAACCTTTCTTATGTCAGTGAGAAGCATTGATTGATTGTGCTTCTGTATTGCTGTAGATAAATTGGGGACTAGAAATTGCCTATGGCAGCTGGAGGGAGTGGAAGGGAGGTGAGATCTTTGAACGGCGTCAGGAATAGTGCTGGGAAACTCCCTTGTCCTGAGTCTTGCTGCCCATGAGACATGAAGGGCCTTGGTATAGTCAGAACTTATGTTAGAGCATTCCGTACTGTCACCTCCCATGGGCAGCCTTCTCCTCCTCTCTTCGCTGCTACTTACCTCTCTCTTTCTGTTCTCTATAGGAAGAAACTAGCAATTTGTTGCTGTGACGTTGTGTGGAAACCACATTGTAAAGAAACCACAAACTGGAATCCTTTTCCAGCCGGAGGCCTGTTTCCCAGTGCGCCCATCTGGTCTGGGATGCGTGAGCATTGGAGGAGTGAGAGGACAGAGCAGATATCTTACAGCCTGCTCTTTGGGACCGCAGCCCTCCTGCTGCAGCATGCCACTTCAGCAGGAGCACAGCATTACCTGGCCTTTGGAGGCACTCAATCTGCTGTGTGCACTGAAGCTGTAATGCCAGGAGTGTGGCAGTATGGAGATCAGTCTAGTCGGGTCTATTTAATATGAAAAGGTGATCACTCATCCGCCCACTGTTTAGTAACTGGTGTAACTGTGTTTTCATCTGTATTTTTTTTAATATGCAAAAGCCATTTAATTTTCTATGCAGTTCAAAAATGTCTCCCCTTTGCAACTGCCAGGTGGGAGATCTGTGCAGGAGAACCAAGCCAAGTGGCTGATAGTCCTTTTGATTTTGGTGTCGCTCTCTTTTAAGGATGCATCCTGGAATCCTCTGCACACAGTGTCCCTTTGCTGAGCTCGAGCCTCTTAGACCCCATTTAACATCCCTGAGCCCCAGGGATGAGGGCCCTGTATTTTTGAAGGATCTGTCATTTTTCATGAGTCCAGCCACAGGAAAGAGGGCTTGAAGGCAGTGCCCTAAAAGCAGAGATACCTGAGTTCAGAGCATGTATTATATTCCTGTTCTTGTCCCTGCCCGGAGAGTTATTGAACTGCTAGAAATGACTAAGGCCTCTGTGGAGCACCCTGTGGCCTTTACTGAAAGTGTATTGTGAAGAGGGCAGAAAGGACTGGGGCATCAATTGTCTCCCCATGGAGCTGACAGTGAATTTAACCCCTTTGGAATAGGAGGACAATCTCCTGGTACTAGATGCCTACTTCACTTGAGAGGACTGCGCTGGTTTTGCTTATTGGTTTGCAGACCCCTTGCTTATTGACCAGTTGATTTCCTACTGAAACTGGTGCAGAGCTGACAAGTTGCTTTGCACTGCAGGACTTTCAGCAGCTGCACGTGTCCTGGAGTACCTTGTGTTATGCTCTGAAGCACAACCTAGGATTGAAACCTGCATCCGTCCAAGTGAAACTCCCAGGAGAGCAGTTTTGCCTTCAGCTGGGTCTGCATAATGTGAGAAACTGCGTGTCCTTAAGCAGCAGACAAGTCTGTTGAGGTAGAGTGAGAGGGAGCCCGAGGGGTATGGTACACATCTAGCTCATCTTGGGGCTTGCAGAGGTACTTGGAGGCCTCTGGCAACTGCAGAGGGTCCTGGGTGATGGGACGCCTTTGCTTTAACTGTGCTAAAGGCAAAAAGGTCAGACAAATGGGATTGTTTCCAACCTGCCGTGAGGCCAGGATGTGTTTGACTAGTCTCCTTTCATGGCAATGCTGTTTTTTCTGCATTCTGTCTCTGCTCTGAGCTTGGGGGATTCAGCTTTAAAGTTAAACAGAAATAGAGATCAGATTGGGATTTAACCTGCCTTGTGGTCTCTCAAATCAGATCGAAGAGACTGGGGGCTGCAGAAGCACGGGTCATCTCCCTTGCAGCATCCCCTATGCTACAGTTCCACAGTGGCTGTGAAAACTCAATAGTGTATTTGGGTGCTGCTTTCCCAGGAACATAAGATGCGCTTGGCCGTGCTGTAGCACTGGAGCTTGCATGGGGCTCTGTTCTCTTCCCCTTTGTACCTCTAAAGTAGTTAAAGTTTGTCAGAGCAGTAGGGGTTCCTCACTGTGAGAAGACAAATATAGCTGTGTTAAAGGGAACTGCAAATGGTATTTAGGAGCTCACCAAGTGAGGTGAAAACCCACCAGCTCACTCCTGCAGAGCCAGATCCCGGAGCTCAGCTCCTCCCACGCCCTTTGGGTGGGATCTTGGGCTGGCATCCTTGGATCGGCAGTGCGGGGAGGTGGAGATGCTGCACTGCAGTAAGCACAAGAAGAGGCAAGCAAGTGGGCCTCAGTGTAGCACTCATTATGCACTTCATGGCTCAGTTCATGGACTGTAATTGCAGGTATTCATATAATCTACATCACCGGGCAGGACTCTGCGCACACACACATGCATGCCCAGACATACACGCACCACACCCACACTTGCCCACACATCCTCGCCAAAACAACTGAAAATAAAAGTGATCTCAGTCTCAAGGAGAGGCCTGGCTGTTTGATTTGTTTCTCCTCTTCCAGTGCCTCCTTGGGTCCTGCCTCTGGAAGGGTCTGCACCTAATTGTAGATCTGGGGTTTTCTGAATCCAGGAGCCAGAGCTTTTAGGAGCTTTTTTAGGAGCTGTTAGCAAATGACTCACAAATCATCAAGAGATTTGGCATTGAGTGAATCTGAGCATGGAGCCCCTTACTTGGATTAACATCTGTGAACCATTGCCCACTCCACCAAGGCAGGTGATTTCTGCGGAACAGCTTTTTCCCTGCTGCGTTTGGGGTGTTTTGTGAGGCCAGCTCAGTGGTTCACATTGGTACCATGTTGTTTGCTTTCTTGTAAGGCTTGGTTCCCTGCAAACCCTGGTCAAGTGCCACGTTGTTCAGAGGTGAGGGCAGTTAGACAGATGGCCCTCTGCTTGCCAACATGGGCGTTTGCAGCAGTGCCAGGAGGGAGAATTAAAAGTAGGGAGCAAGTCCCCTCCCACACAGTTCTGAGCAGCTGTGTGTGACCCCACTTCCATCACCACTCTCATCTGGAGGAAAAGACAAGACAGACCTCTGTGGCAACCCCACCAAACACAGTGATGCTGCGCAGCACGTCTAGGGGAAGGGGTGGCAGCATCTGCAACAAGATGCTGGTGTGCTGGAGTGAGGCAGGAGGCAAGACTTGAGGGTGGGTGGCTGGGCCCCAGCCACAACAAGGTGGATGAGAAAGATGCCAGGCTGTTTAGGGGCTGGCAGATGTGGAGGTGTTGGGGTGATTGCATCAGTCAGGTGGATGTCACATATATGTTGGCCTCTATCGCTGAGTAACAGGAGGGAAAACTCTTGAGGATATGCCTGGAGTGTGCTCCAGGGCTGTGGGAAGCACCAGTGGAAAACTGACCCATGGTGGACAGGGAGGCCTTCTCCCTTTGCCTTCACCTCCTGGCTGAGAAGACCCAGAGGGCTCACACGTGTCTCATGCCATCCACCCCACCCCACTTGTTGACTGGGGATTTGGGGACAAACACGTGAGGCAACTTCCCTGGGCAGGGAGGGGATGGGGGCTAGCTGAATTGCTCCAGTAGCCGGGATGTGGCTACCCGTGGGTGTCCCAGGTCCGTGTTTAGGATGCCCTGCGCAAAGTCATCCTCGTGAGGAGAGGAACGTGGAAGTGTAAATAAGGCGTCTGTCTAGTGCGGTTCTCCCATAACGCGGCCGTGACCCGACGCCCAGGAGGCTGCTCCGCAGACGCTCAGGAGGGCCGACGGCGGGAGCGTGAAGGCAGAGGTGCTGCCGCAGAGGAGCAGGGCCGAGGGCCGGCGGGAGCCAGCCAGGGCGGGCAGGGGGCGAGGCAGGCCGGGCACGCGTGGCACACACCCACGACAATTCTTTACCCCGGACGGGGAAGGTGTGAGCCGCAGCCGAGGAGCTGCTCGCGTCTCAGCACGCACAGTGCCGCCGGCGGCCCGGCGAGGGCGGAGGCGGCGGCGGCGGCGGCGGGGCCGCCCCCACCGC